TTCAAGTTAGCGAAAATTCAGTTTTCTAACCTGGGGCTAGCACCTGCCATGAAGTTCAGTAAGTGAACACCTCTTCGTTTCTCTAGACCTCTGTGACTGCTACAGAGTCTGTATGGGCCCTCTGAAGACAGACAGGTAAGTAGTTTACAGTAGCAGTCCTCTGTTAATCTAGAAAAGCAAGCAGGCTGGACTAGCATGACATGATGTCCAGCACTACTTCAAAACCTGCTGATTCCAATTATCCTTGACTTTTGATATTCAAGATTAACAAAGATTACACTGAAATGACAAATAACTAAATAATAGAAGTTCAGATAATATAACTATCATGTAGAAACTATATGATATTTATATTATATATATAACTATCTGATACAGACAAGAAAGATACCTCCCAAAGTAAATGGTATTTTTACTCATTTTCTAGAAGCACATAGGGATACAAAAACCTCAAATTCAGAAAGGTGCAGCTCCTTCCTGTGAGCAGGGGAAGTGCTAGGCAGTGCTATTACTGAAGACTTACCCTCTTGCTCACACTGTTTAGAGTTGCATTTGCTTGGAAATACAAGCAAATACGTGCTTCCATGGATGCACTTCATTTGACTGGAACTCCATAGCAGGAGGTGCACTCTGAACTCAGATTCCAGTATAAAAAAAATGAAATTGGAAAACACACATGCCAAAATTGACATTGTATAAAGAACTATCTGACACTAGATGCAATTTAATAATGAAATAACTTTTTCACACAGGAGCAAAACACCATTTTTAGTAACTTCAGCCACAATTTAAAGAAAAAAAACCCAGCACAATAATCTGTAAATTAACAGTAATTAATTTTTTTCTGTCAGCTGTGTTTAAATACTAAGTTTGGCTCTAACTTTACAAATCCCTCAGAGTATTGCTTCCTGACATTCTCAGAAATGTCTACTTCAGGCATTATATCCTGTTTTGTGTATTTCTATTCCTATTTCTACTACATACACTGAGAAATAAGCCTAATCCCTCAAAAGCTTTACTGCATGGCCGGTTGACTTCCAACATTCAGAATGGTCAATTATAGGGGCATCTAGGTTTAAAAGAAACTTAATTCATGTTTAAAGACAATAGGTGGGGTAGATTTAATAAGATGATCAGTTTCCAAAACAAAAATGTATTAATCCAAATAACCTGAATTATTTAGCAGATGCTGAAAGTTGCTTCAAATTCCTCAGCATCATGTGCTTCAGCACATTCTCCTCTCTGTGGATCATGGGTGTCATATGACTTAAAGCATATGGGTTTTTTCCAAGAAAAAGATTTCAAAATTTTACTCCTCTACATCAGAATCTCGGTAGCATGCTGTGGTAGCGCGCTGCAGACAAACTTCAGCAGTGATCCTTTCTTACCTGACCAGACGTTCTAAAGGTTTGAGGGCCCAAGGAACTGCTCCTGACTCAGATTCTACCAACTAAAACAGGTGAGATATGTGAAGCCCCAGCAAATAGCAAGGTGCCTGACAATGGCTGAATATTCTATATACACAGATATATGGCTTCTTGGCAGAGCAGAAACAATCCAGCTCCTTCTCGGCTGCTGGTACAACACATCACTGTAGTGCTGACAATAAACATGGCCCTTTGCAATTCACTGGAAAAAGGCAACAATCCATTACGCTGTAAAAAAAGTCACTACAACATCTAAAGCGGTACAGCAGACGGAAGGTGAGGAGAATAATTTCCCTAGATTCTGAAGCACAGCCTAGGAGCTCCTCGGCCTTGAGCTCAAGGATTCATTATTTTATGGAAAAGAGTACAAGAACTAAGGTCCTTTGTACATGTCCCATGCTGTCATCTAATCAGCGACACAATTTCCGTACGAAAGGATAATTTAGTCCAGTTGGTCTACTTTCACTTAACCTTGCTGAGAACAAACTGGAAAAACTGGCATATACGCTGTGATCCACAAGCTTGAAACAAAGTTGTCATCTGAAATGCAAGATACACTTGGAACTAACACATAATGTTGCTGTAGACTGGAAAATGCATTTTTGTCGGCCTAGACACTCTGGAAAAATCTCTATTTCAATTAATATCAACATAGGCATACCTTCTCTAATGATGGCAACCTTTTCATGTGAGTTAAAGCACATTTTGTAATAAGGCTTCAGAGACCTCTTCAAAACAACATGGTAGATCCCAAGCTTATTAAGGTGCTTATTCTGCCCTTCTTATAATAGCAGAATCTTTATATTCATACTTATATGTTAAAAACTGTATATTGGTACAAATTACAGGCAATCACATCAAAGTTTTAGCTAGAAGTGCATCATGCACATGTTCTGCTTATCCTTCCTCAACATAATCAAAGTGAAAAGAACTACTCATGAACCTTTATTAGGGCAGAATGTGTATTCAGTGTATCAGGCAAGGAGGAAATAAACTTACAGGCCTTGTAGATGCCATTCGACTTAGCAAGCCATAGCTGGTAGAGTTTATCAGAGAAGACTATCTTCTTGTCTAGACCAAAATATTTCTCAGAGTTAAAGATGATCTAACTTCATGCCTTCATGGCTCATCAGGAAAAGCCTGACTGCATTTCAGAGCATCCATGAATACAGGATTTTTAAAAAACAGAAGGCTTTCTTTTATTCTTCTAAACTTAGCAACACCTTCCTTGTACAGCCCATCATTAGGCACACTGATTGGTGGAGTGAAATTACATCATTGACTGTGTTTTTTAACCTGTGGGAGAAGGTAGGAAGAAGTTTGGTATACTAGAACTCCTTTCAGTTTAAGTGATTAATTACGAATATTACCAGTGCTAAGGTTGTCTGAACTGTCTCTAGTTACTCAGTGACACAGGAATATTTCAGAAAGGTGCTAATGGAGTAGCTGTGCAGATCTCTCAGTGAAGTCCAGAGTGGTTTTAATTGGATCAGAAGTTTTTCTTAGAAGCTTCAGTTAACTGTGAATTAGTTCCATCCCTTTATATTAACTGAAGTTTAGCATTTTATGCTCAATTCATGAATACTGAAAGTAATTCATAAGTTCTTTAAGTTCTTGCATTAGAGAACAGCAATATATAAATTGCTGTTCAAATACGTCAACCATGAGCTGCATCTTCTGGTACAAAGCCATCAT